CTCCGCTGTGGTCAAGGCTGCAAGGCCGCAGGGTTGGTCCTCACTGGTTTTACAGAGAAAATCGAGGTCTGTCCAGTGAAACACCTGCTCGAGGCCACACATGCAGCTCCTAAACTGTGAGCTGAGATTTCAGCCCTTTGGGAGCTGTGACATGAGTATGCAGTGTTGGCATAAGGACCTGACTCTGTGCCACTCCGTGAGGTTCCTATGTACTAGGACATCTGCCATCTGCAGACATCGTGGAGGAGAGGAAGGAGCCTGAGCAGCATCATGTCTGACATTTTTGTCTTGAGTTGTGTGTGTTTGCCCTTGTCCATGTGTATGCAGATACATGTGTTCATGTGTGTAGAGGCCAGAATTCAACCATGGGCGTCATTCCTCAGAGGTCCATTTTATTTTTGTTTGTTTTGAAACAAGGTTTCTCACTGGCCTGAGGCTTGTGGATTGGTTGGACAGGCTGGCCAGCAAGCCCCAGAGATACTCTTGTATCCGTCTTCCCAGCTTCAGGACTGCAAGCTACATCACTATGCCCAGCATTTTTATTTGGATTCTGAAGATTGAACTCAGGTCTTCATGTCTGAACTGCAAGCATGTCTTCCCAGCATCCTGTTTCTGAGATTGTTAAGTCACAATGACTGGTTAGGTTCGCACACAGACAAAGGAGGAGAAACACCCCCACTTCGCTCTCCTCCTTTAGCGGTAAAGCAGCGTTGAATGCTTGCAGAGTGCCACCCAGATAGATGCTCTGACTCTGTTAGCACACCCATGGCTGTGTGCTGGTGCGTGGCCACCTGATGGTGATGGTGGGGCCACATACTGGTTTCTGGAGTGACAAAGCTCCCGACCCGCCTTGCTCCCAGCTCTTTCTTCCACCTGGATTCCCTGAATGCCAAGTAGGGAAGGGTGCCTTGAATGTGGCACCTCATTGCACAGAGTGTGTGCCGGTTAGTTTTGATCCTCCAGCAAACTCGGAGCGTGTGAGTGTGTGGTGCTGGGAAGGGAACCCAGGGCATGCATGTGTTAGCTAAGGGATCCACTGCAGTGTTGCATCACCAGTGTCCGTTGCTGTAACAGACCGTGTGAGCCGGCTAAGTTGGGAACGGGGCTCCTCGTTTCAGTTGTTTAAGTCTCTAACCACTTGACTGCTTTGTTGTGCAGCCTGCTTCCAGGCAGCAGTACATTATAATGGGTAGCATGGGGAAGCAGGATGTGAAGGAAGCCACATGGCCCCTAGGAGGAGACTAGAATTCCATAAGCACCTTGCAGGGCTTGTCTTCAGGACCCAAGACCTCCTATTAGACTCCGCCTCTCACAGGTTCCACAGCTTTCCAATAGTGCTGAGCTGAGGACCAAGTTACTAACTCAAGGGCTTGGGGATGGCAGGGTGCGGTGGGGGGCATCCAGGTCCAGGTGGCAGCCACACAGATAACAGTTACATTTAGCAAAAGAGCTGGGGAGTGGTAAATTCTGAGTGTACTTTTACAAATGTGAAATTTGATGTCTTGTGAGTTTTGATGATGGCTGTGTCTCACGGCTGATTTAGGGAAGTCCAGCAAGCTAACAGCTGGCCCTGGTGAGTGCAGGTTGGCTCCGTGTACAACTCGTTGCTTCTTTACTAAAGTATCAACACTGCCAGGTTCTTTGGTTTTTGTGTTGCTTTTTACTTTAAAGGTCCTTTGTTCCTCCATCCACCAGGATTCTACCGTGTATGCACACTAAGTAAGGCAGCAGGGCTGCTACTGGGGATGGCAGTGCTCTGAGCCTTGTCTCCATTCCTTAGACCTGGTGAGGGATCCTCTCCCTCATCAAAACTTGCAGATACACCATCAACAGAAGTGATCTTTGTCTCTAGGGTCTTGAAAGAGTAATGAGATGCCATGGTGCTAATGTTGGGGGAGGGCAGGGTTGTGTGCGGCAGGAGAGAGTTTACTCAGATCAGGAAGGACTGCAGGGTGACATAGTCTAAGATTCACAGACCAGAGGGGAGCAGGTATCACAGCACAGCAAGGAAATGTTTTAATAGGATGTGGTCACTTGAGGGCCATTTCTGTGAGTTCTTGCCATTAGTTACTGTTTCTCAGCATTGATTACTATACCAGTTACCCAACAGAAAAGAGGAAAGGAAGAAGTAGTTATTTGAGCCCAGGGTTTCAGAGGGGTGTCAGATCACCGTAGCAGGGAAGGACTGTCAGAGTTTGTGGTGATGGGAAAATGTGATGAGGATGCCACTCATATAAAGCAGAGAGAGGGACCAGAGTGAGGGAACCAGAGTTGGCCCACCAGGCCCCGCCTCCTAAAGTCTTCACACCCTTCAAAATGATGCCACCAGCAGGGGACCACACCATCAAAACAAAACCCTGAAGGAAACATTCCAGACTAGACTATCACATTTTCTAGATATTTGCAAAACAGTGTTGTATGTTGTTCATAGAAGAGGAACATGTGTGTGACAAAAATGGGGCGAGGGGTCCCTGCCAGCTTCAGGAGGCTGGAAATGGGGAAGGAGTTGGAGGCAGAGGTGGTCTTTACTTGACTTATAATTTTTATTTATTTGGTGTGTGTTTTGTGTGTGAGTGTGTGTGTGTGTATGCATGTGAGTATGCATTGTGTACATGCACATGTGTGTTCACGTCTGCATGTGTGCGTGCCTGTGTGTGCATGTGAGTGTATGTGTTTGGTCAGAGGACAGCTCTCAGGTTCTTTCCCATGTCCATTTGTTATCTGGGTTGCCAGACCCATGTCCCAGCGCCTGTGCCCACGGAGTCATCTTCCCACCTCAGCTTGGGATTGTTTTGAAGCAAAGGGCAAGATCTGAGATGAACATAATTGGTGTGCATTCTGCTGGCCCTTGCTGTCAGCTACATTATCCTCTCTCTTATCATTTCTGAGTGTTTGAAATACTCCATGGAAAAGAGGTTCTAGGTATGGATGAAAACTGGACTGACTGCCCTTCAGAACAGGCTACAGCAAAATGAAACAGAGCAAGGCTGGATAGTAATTTTTCTCCTTATTGTGACAAAATACCTGTCATAAACAGCTAAACAAAGGAGAGTTTGTTTTGGCTCACAGTCTTGAAGGTTCCAGTCCACAGTCTTTGGCTCCATTAATCCTGGGCCTGTGGTGAGGCAGAACAAGGCAGTAGGAGCCTGTGGAGGAGGACGCTCTCCTCATGGTGGACAGGAAGCGGAGAGCAAGGAAGGGACAGCCTGGTGTATCCTTCACAGCACTCAACAAGGAGATCTTCCTTCTGGATTTCTCAGCACTTCCTAAAGTAGCAGCACCAGCCAGAGACCATGTGCTCAACACAGGAGCCTGGTGTATACACTTCATGTTCAGACTGTAACAGGCCAAGGGCAGTCAGACAGGTGGGCAGGGCTCAGGTGCACACGCCTGAACGGCTATAACCATAAATGTGGATGTCATCTAAAGCTCAGTTGGTAAAACCTTGAGATGAGAGTGACATGGTCTGATTTCAGTCGACAAACACCAAGGGGCCTGCGAGGTTGTTCTGCTCCACCAAATCCTCAAGGAACTAGCCTTGATCTGGCGTATTTTTCGGCAATTAGGAAATTCTGTGTTATGTGTTAATTATACCTCACCTAAGCTGTGGAAACCAGAAAGAAGGAACATGTCACTATGAAATCCAAAGATACAAATGGGAAAAAAAACAGATCTTCAAAAGAATCAATGATATTTAGAGTGAAATATATTTATCAAACAAAAGATACTCATTAAAAAGGAAGTAAAGACACTGGGAATGGTGGTGAATGCCTGTAATTCTAGCACTCAGGAGACTGAGTAGGAGGGCTGAGAGTTCAAATCAAGCTCTGTACCAAAATGTTGCAAACAAAAATGAATACAAAACATCAAAAGCAAGTGAAGTAAGAGAGGAAACCTCTGAGAGATGGAAGTAGGCGCAGAGAGACAATTAGTGAACTGGGATAGAGCTCTGAGAAATTTTCCTTGACACTGCTCTGAAAGACAGTAAACCATGAAGAAGTAGTTAGAAGACAGAAGATTAGGTGAGCTAGTTTATGTATATTTAATAGAAATTCTTCCAGGAGAGATTGGAGAAAATGAGAGGTTGTACTAAAAAACAAAAAAGCTGAGAATTTTCCAGAACTGAAATATGGAAGTTCTCATTAAGGAGTGAAGAGAATTTTATAATCTCCATTTCAAAACAAAAAAACAAACAAACAAAAAAATCACAGTGCAAAATGGTAGCAAGTACTTAACAAAGGGAAAGACCATAGACTATAAAAAAATCCATAGTAGACTAACAGTAGGTCACTTATATCTTGGGTCAAGAAAGAACCAGAGACATTATTGGAGAAGCCAACATCTGTGCTCTCTGGTGTGTCTTCCTTTCTGAGTACCTCTCTTTCTGTCTTAACCTTCAAGCTTCAGATCTATATTAGAAATGTCTTTTAATGTCCCTGCCCTCCAAAAGGAAAGTCAGGGACAGCCTAGAATCCCAGGCCTCAACAGATCTGAATACTCAAAACGACTGTAGATTACAGACATCTGGACACAACCCTACCCCAAACCTCAAGGGTCTTGGATAGTGTAGTCTGGGGAAAGGAAGAGTCCTTTCAAACCATGTGTGCCCGGCCGGGCCCCAGTGATGGCCCTCATCTCTCACGGACACTGCAGAGAGAGACAGGCTGTGTTCCGCTTTTGTCACACAGCCCCACACCTGTGGGGAGTGGTGCTCCTGGGCCATGTTGCCCAGGATTCCATTACAGGTGAGAGGGCTGTGGCCCTTCCCCTAAGGTCTTCTCTGGGGTCTCTAAGAGGATGGGAGTGAGTGAAGAGAAGACAACCAGGATTGTTGGCCACAGCTGGGGTGATACTGGCGACAGGGTAGGACAGGGGACGCGATGAGGCTGAGGATGGAGGATGGAGGATGGAGCTGGGTCCTGGCCTTAGTGAGAAGGAACCCAGGCATGTGAGAGCTCCTTCCCTAATGGCACATTCTAGACAGTCTCTCTGTTTTCCAGATTGTGGACAAGAACAACCGCTACAAGTCCATAGATGGGTCGGATGAGACCAAGGCCAACTGGATGAGGTGAGTCCCATCCCTGCCGGCTCCAGTGGGCCTCACCAGCCTCTGGGATGAGCCAAGGGAGCGTCTTGGGCTTCCAGACTCCCAGAGCTCTCCAGGCTGCTCCAGAACTGCTGCTGGCAGGGTTTGAGAGGACCGCCCAGTTCCCCCAGGATTCTATCAGAGGCTCCAGTGGAGAGCCTGTGGCCAGACCAGTGGGCTGCAGGAATCCTAGAGGCTACAGAGGCCATGGGCTCCTGGTAGAATACCTACAGAAGAGGAGGATGTCCCCGACCTAGGATGGACCAGAGGCATCCTCCCAGGGCAGACTCTTGCTGCGTGGGTGGCATCACTCAGGGAAGACCCAGAAGCCATCCCATGGTGGTGTGGCAGCGGAGGTTCCTGACATCTCCCTTTCCCATAGGGCTCACACAAGGCTTGACTACTGACAAGAGTGGTTCTACTCTAGCCCAAGGCTGTGGCCAAGAAGTTTCTATCAGAAGGGTCCTCAAAGTCTAGCCAGAGAGAGCAGGGAATTGAAGGAGGGTCACTCCTCAGGTGGCCACACTGAGTTTGGATCCAGGCTCAGAGCTGGCCTGTCTGCTGTGTGTGGGTCCTACTAATGGGTATGTGTTAGGAAAAGGGTCAGTCTGGCCTCAGCACCACTGATGGTCTCTATCTGGGACCCAGAGGTGGTAACAGGGAGCTTAGATCTGGTTGGGAGAAAATGGAGGCCTTCCCAGACCCAGGGACCCAGCCACATGATAGGTCGGAAGGCCTTGTCACTGTGTAGTTCTGTGAGTCTCAGTTGGGTGACCCTTGGGGACTGATGGGGAGACAAGAGGCGGGGACCGCAAGGGATGTCTCAGGGAGTCTGAGCACATGAGGAGGAGCTGGTTGAAAGTGGAGAGTCATGAGAAGGTTCCCCCGCGTCCCTCTTGGTGGCCTCACTGTCACCCTGTATGTCCTCAGAGCTGCAGCTGGCTTGCAGGGCGGTTTGGGTTCATCCTCTTATCGAGGATGCAGCTGTTCCCACTGCCACTGAACAGGTGCAGACCCACACCCACACATTGCCTCCTGCTACACAAGCTGGTCAGCTATCCCTGAAAGCAGCACAGGAAGTTGGGCTTGACACTTCTAGCCACCTTCTTCCCCCTTTGCCCAAAGTTTCAGGTCAACCTGACAGTGTCTTGTATCCCTTATGCTGAGCACTGCTCCTGCTCAGATATAGTCTGGGCTCTTGAGAGTAGGCCAGTCCAGCCATGCCCAACCTTGCCCTCTGCATCCCTACAAGGCTTACACCTGCCACGGCGTAAACAGCAGAGAAGCACAGACATGTGCTGGGAGGGTCCAGATGGAAGAGGAAGGAGCCTTTGACACGAGCCTTCAGAGGGGCCAGAACTGTGCTGAGGGCACCTGGAGCAAGTGGGCACAAGCCTTGCAAATGCTGCTAATGGCCAGCACAGAGCAGACCGACCCTGTCTGGGTCTCTGAGTGAGTCACCACAGTCAGGTGCAGACGCTGCAAGAGCATGTCTGATGCATCCTGGTGTCACTGGCAGGGCTCCATGAACTACGGCTAAGAGATGTGGCCTGTCCCATGTTCCCTCCTGTTTCTGAGCCTTTGCTTGGGGAAAGCGCTTTCCCACAGCCCCTTAGAAGATGTTGCCTCATCTCAACCAGCTAAGCCATTGTTTAGCATGACAGGGCTGCTGATGTATGTAACTTGGTTGAGGATGGATCTGGGACATCACAATTTTGCAAGCTCTTTATAGTGAGTCTGATGTGGCCACTCAGGCTGACAGCCATTGCTCTGTGCTGGTGGTTGTGCCCCAGTGATGAACTGAGACCACCCAGTGATGAACTGAGACCAGAGCAAGGCAGAGTCTTACTCAAGTTCATACCATCCATGGCAAAAGGAGGGCCTGTGTCTCTGGACCTACAAGCCAGGGTTCTTGACCTGCAAACCAGGTTTTTTCCCTGCTAACACACAAGGGACCAGGCAGAGCATGGCTTCTTGTGGCTCTGGGTGGGTGCAGTGGGCTGGAGTCCACTTCTCCCACCTTGTTAGCATGACTGTGTCCTGATGCTCCTCTCCTATCCAGACCCCAGGTGGTTTCTTGGTGCTCTTGGTTGATGTGGTTGGAAAGGTTCCAGGATCCAGTGGTCATGTTTGGGTGTGACTTTGCTTTTGATAGCTCTTGTTAATTTACAGACACTGTTAGTTGTTCTCTAACAGATCAGGGGCTTGGGGATGATGTAATGGACAGGTGTCTTATGAAATTAGTGGTGGGCCAGGCAAGGGATAGATATTCATGTTTTGAGTGTTAACTTATGCAAGCTCTGGGTTAGGGGCCCGCGTGCAGTAGTTCTCAACCAAGGGCTATTTTGCGCCTTCAGGGGGCACTTGAGACATGCTTCCAAACATTCTAGGTGGGCAGAGCTTCATGCATGGGTACTCCTGGTTTGCACTGGGGCAAAAGGTAAGCATGTTATTGGACATTCCACATTGCACTGTAATCTCCTCAGCTCCTAACACAGACCATGTGAGTACCCACAGGGACATAATTAGTGCCCTGCAGAGTTCACCCTAGTTTTACAGAGGTCCTGTGGTCCCCAAGGATAGTCTCAAGTTTGTCTGAGTGCAAGGCCTTGTTCTGAGCTGGGTACCGATGTACCCAGCTTTCCTTTATCTGATTACTCTCTATTGGCTGGGAGGAGAGAAAGAAGGCTGGAGGCGCTGAGGACTGGTGATCTCCCACTGTGGTTTTGGAAGCACCCGTAGGTATGGCTTGAGATCCGAGTGTCTGTCAGCACCCTGGTCTCTCTCGGGTGGAGCTTGCAAAGCTCTAGTGAAAGGTGGATAGAATCACAGTTTGAAAAGATTGGGTCCCAAAGCCAGAATGGGTGCAAAGCCAGGTTGAAGAGTCTCGACAAAATCGAAGCCGTCCTAGTGTTCTTCCAAGGGTAACACGTCTCTTGGTGGATGTTCGTGGGTTCGTCACATCTTAAGCAGAATGCCACATCAGCCACCCCATGAGGAGCCACTGGTGGTGACCTTGAGGGAGAAGAGCTTGTTTTCCCCTGCACATATACAGGAACATAGGGACATGAGGGGCACTGGGAAAGGGACATGAGCCAGTGACAGAATAAGCTTTCTTTGATTGCAACATGTTGGACACTAGCAGCCAATGCCATAGGCCACTGCAGTCCACTGTAGGGCTATTTGTTTTATTTTCAAAATTTTTATATCTACATGTGTGTGTATGCACACATGTGTGAAGATGCCCTTAAAGGCCAAAAGGGGGCCCACTGGAGCTAGATTGACAGGCATTTGTGAACTCCCTGATGTGGTAGCTGGGTTATGAACTCTAATCCACTGCCAGTGTTAACCACTGAGCCATTTCTCTAGTCCTTTAAGTTGTTAAGGCTTATATGTAGATGGACCCTCAGAAACTACTGTGGTTGGCATCCCCACTCTGGATGGGGAGAATGAGGCAGCAGAGGACGAGTGAACTTGAATTACCTGGTGCTCAGGGCAGATGAGAGGTGTGGTAGCCCTGCCATGCAGTCACCGGGTTCCTTCTGCCTCTTCTTCCTGCCCTCCCTTTGAGGAGGAGGGGGGAGAGGCATCACTGTAGGAGGAGGGTGTGGTGAAGCCTAGGTGGCCACAAGTGTTCCCTGGCTTCCCAAATGGGGCCTGTGATTAGGAAGGAGGACCACCCTCACTGACGGTCATTTACCCAATTATGCTTTGTGGGATATTCAACCCAAGGAACATGCTGCCCCTGGCGGAACGTAAGAGGAAGCCTAAATTCTCCAAGGAGGAGCTGGACATTCTGGTCACAGAGGTGACCCGTCATGAAGCAGTTCTCTTTGGGAGAGAGACCATGAGACCGTCCCATGCCGACAGGGACAAGATTTGGGAAGGCATAGCTCGAAAAGTCACCTCTGCCAGCCAGGTCCCCCGCTCCATCAAGGACATTAAGCACAGATGGGATGACATGAAGCGCAGGACCAAGGACAAGCTGGCCTTCATGCAGCAGTCACTGTCGGGCCCAGGGATCGGGGGCCACACCCGTCCCATCATGTTCACTGCCCATGAAAGGGCCATCAAGGCAGCGCTGATCACTGCCCAGGCTGGGCACAGCTTCCCCAGGGCGGAACTGGATGGTATCGACAGCCCTCCTACCAGCTGTGAGTATCACTGCCTGTCTGCGGCCTGAGTGTGGGGCTTGATTCCGCATGTGCTCCCCTTCCTTCTCTAGCTCCCAGCCCTGACCCCCCCCTCTTGCCACGCCTACATCCTACTTGTGTCCTGTCTGTCACCACTTCTTGTGCATCCATTCTGTGCTAGAAGCTGGCTTGGGAGCAGGAAGGACAGGGCTGCCTCTAAAATCTACACAGACGCTTGCAGGACTAAAAAGTTTCAGATGTGTCCAACTTCGGGCCTGAGGACTGCACGCACGTAGCTATGAATGTGGCCTGACCTAGAGCATAAGGTTGCTTAAAACATTACAAGCTATTTATGTATTTGTGCATTGAGCAGAAACTCTGTAGATGACCTCGTTGTGTTGCAGTGTCAAAAGGTTAGACATGCTTGCTTGAGGCAGATTATTGCTCACCCTTAGAGGGAGGATAAGGGCTGACCCAGTCCAGAGCATCCCAGATTGTCAGCCTAAGACTTGTGTGATACCCAGGGCCCACATGGGGTCTGCTGTTCTGCAGCAGCGGGGCCCAGTGTCTTCAGTCTGTGTTGGGTCTGCAAACCGCATGACAGGAGGTGCCGAAGCTGTGAAAAAGATCAGGCTAAGCCTGGCTGAGGAAGGCGTTTGAAGGGTGAGGAAGAGTTAACTAGGCCTGGTTCGAGGAGCAGAGGAGGGGAGGGGAGGGCAAGCAGCCTGGGAACAGCATGTACAAGGCCCACATCAGGAAGGCGCTTGGCACGTTCCAGGAACTGCAGAAGCCAGGGAAGCCCCAGCATAGCCGGCAGGGGGAGGGGCACCACCACAGCAGCCAAGTGGC